ATATCTTAATGCAGAAGGTATGGGAAATGTCAGAGTGATTCTGAACAATGGGAAAACAACATTGATTCAGAACGTGTGGTATGTACCTGGCATCAGAAGCAATCTGATGAGTGTGAGACAATTAATTGAGAAAGGTTTTTCAGTGACCATGAAGGACAATCTTCTGAAGCTGTATGACTGCAATCAGAAGTTGATTATAGAGTCAGAACAGGGAAGGAATAGAACATTTAAGGTGAATGTCAGAACTGCAGACTCAGAATGTCTTAGTGCAACAAGTACTGAGAAGGAGAATGAGATGTGGCACAGAAGATTTGGTCATTTGAATTTCAGAAGCTTAAAACATCTGAATTCAAAGAAGTTGGTACATGGAATTCCTGCAATTAAGAAGCCTGAAAAGTCATGCAAAGTTTGCATGGAAGGAAAACAACCACGATTGCCATTTGCGTCAGAAGCTGTTCCAAGAGCAAAACATGCCTTGGGAGTTGTACATTCTGATGTGTGTGGTCCATTTCCAGTAGCATCAATTGGAGGGAATAAATACTTTGTGTTGTTTGTTGATGAATTCACAAGAATGACATGGGTATCCCTTATTAAGTTTAAACATGAGGTGCTTGATGAATTCAAGAAGTTCAGAATGAAGGCTGAGAATCAGAGTGGTCAGAAGTTGAAGATTCTTAGAACTGATGGTGGGGGTGAGTATAACTCCAAAGAGTTCCAGAAGTTCTGTGAGGAGAATGGAATTATACATGAGGTTACTGCTCCTTATACCCCTCAACACAATGGTCTTGCTGAAAGAAGAAACCGCATTTTGCTTGATATGGGGAGAAGCATGCTAAAGGAGAAGAAGCTTCCTCAGAAGCTCTGGGGGAGAAGTTGTTGCCACTACAATGTATGTACTCAACAGATGTCCTACGAAGAAGTTGAAGGAAATAGTTCCAATACATAAGTGGACTGGAGATAAGCAAAGTGTTAGACATTTGAAGGTGTTTGGTTCTGTTTGCTATAAACATGTTCTAGAAGCCAGAAGACAGAAGTTGGATGATAGAAGCAAAGTGATGATTCTGATAGGGTACCACAGTACAGGTGCATACAAGCTCTATTGTCCAGAAACCAATAAAATTGAATTCAGCAGAGATGTGTTTGTGAAGGAATCAGAAGTTTGGAATTGGGATAAGTCTCAATTTGATTCTGATGTTAGAACTTTTGAAGAAAGGCCAGAGTTAAGAATTTCTGAAGTTGGAGTAAACTCTGACATTGATTCTGATTCTGATAGTGATTCTGACTCTGGAGAAGACTCAGAAGAAGAAGGTGACTCTGATGATCCAGACTCTGATGGTAATCCAGATTCTGGTGGCAATTCAGACTCTGAAGATGGCCAAGGCTCCGGAGGAAGTCAAGCCTCTGAAGCTAGAAATTCTGAAGTTCAAGACTCTGGAAATATGCCAGATCCTGAAGATGGTCAAAGCTCTGGAGAAAGTCAATCATCTGAAGCTCAAGACTCTGAACAAGTTCAGAGACCACAAAGAATCAGAAACATTTCCAGAAGATATGCAGAATTTGACATGCTGCAAGACACTGAAGTAGACTCTGAAGGAGAAGTTATTCAGTGCGCCATGATAGTAGACTCTAAACCCATAAGTACAGAAGAGACTCTTAAGCAGAAACTCTGGCTGAAGGCCATGAAAGAAGAACTTGATGCTATAGAGAGAAACAAAACTTGGAAGCTGACAGAACTTCCAAAAGACAAGAATGCCATCAGCGTCAGATGGGTTTTCAAGCAGAAGTTAAAGCCAGATGGTTCAATTGGCAAACATAAAGCAAGGTTGGTAGCCAGAGGATTTCTACAGAAACCTGGGCTGGATTATTCTGAAGTGTTTGCAATAACTGCTAACAGGAATTGGCCTCTGATGCATTTAGATGTAAAATCTGCATTTCTAAACGGTCCATTAGAAGAAGAAGTTTATGTGTCACAACCTCCTGGATTTGTAAAAAAGAATCAGGAAGGGATGATGTACATATTATACAAAGCTCTATATGGACTGAAACAAGCGCCCAGAGCTTGGAATCAGAAGATTGATTCATTTTTTAAGAAGCAAGGCTTTCAGAAATGTGAGATGGAGTACAGTGTCTATGTTCAGCATACTTCTGAAGGCAATATGACTCTGGTATATTTATATGTTGATAATATACTATTGACTGGAAGTTCTGAACAGGAGATAGCCAAGTTCAAGAAAGTTCTGATGAATGAATTTGAAATGACTGATCTAGGCAAAATGACATACTTTTTAGGGATGGAGTTCAGATATTCTGAGAAAGGTATCATTTTGCATCAGCTCAAGTATGAATTAGAACTTTTGAAGAGATTTGAACTGAAGAATTGTAAGATTGCTGTCACACCTTCTGATACAAATCAGAAACTGGATTCTGACTCTGATGGAAAGGATGTGGACACTACAACCTTCAAACAGTTGGTTGGCTCTCTGAGGTATCTGTGCAATACCAGACCTGATATTTGCTATTCTGTTGGGATGGTTAGTAGGTTCATGAGTAAACCTAAGTGGTCCCATTACCAAGCTGCTGTCAGGATTCTGAGGTATATCAAGGGAACTCTGAAGTATGGAGTGTTGTTTCCTTTTGGAAGAAAGGATGAGTCAGAACTTCTGAGTTATTCAGATTCTGATTGGTGTGGAGACAGAGTTGACAGAAGAAGTACTTCTAGGTACTTGTTCAAATTTCTGGGAGGTCTCATTTCTTGGTGTTCCAAGAAGCAACCTGTTGTGGCGTTATCAACCTGTGAAGCTGAATACATTGCAGGTGCTGTTACTTCATGCCAAGCTGTGTGGATTCTGAATCTGTTGCAGGATCTGAAGATTAAAGTAAACAAACCTCTGAAGTTGATGATTGACAACAAGTCTGCAATCAATCTTGTCAGAAACCCAGTGTTGCATGGGAGAAGCAAGCATATTGAGACAAAGTATCATTTTCTGAGACATCAAGTTCAGAGTGGAGTGTTAGAAGTTGTACACTGCAGCACTCAGAAACAGTTGGCAGATGTTCTGACGAAAGCTATCAAGACTGATCAATTTCTCAGACTAAGGGATGGAATTGGTGTTACAAGTTTTGATGGAATATGAATTAAGGGATGGTATTAGAAGTAATTCATATTTAATTAGTTGTACTATTTTCTTAGCCCCTAAGTTTGTTAGAGGGTATTTTAGTATTTTTATCTTATTCTAGTAACCCTAGTATTAGCTTATAAATAGGGTAACAATCATTGCAATTTTGTAGTAGAGTGTAGCCGTCATTCTGTTAATAGAATATTTCTCTATTCATCATTTATTCTACCTTTGCACCAACAAAGATAACTACATCAAATAATGTAGTGTCAGATCTTTTGAATTGTAACAATTTATACACAATCAGTATCTTAAACTCTATCGGTTAAAATTTTATGTCATATTTTCTTAAATCCTCTTAAAAATTCTTCCTTTTTTATTTAACTATTGTGTTTGATAACACAATCAATCTATATTTTGGTATCATAAATTTCATAATTGTCTTAAATTAGATGTAATCACCATTTGTATCTCTAGTCAATGATTCATAATCTAACATTTTTTTCTATGCAGAACTTATCTGAAAGAAAACTTCTAAAATCGTTTAAATGGTTTCATTAATTTTGATGACTAAAACAAAGAGATAAATGCATACAACAAAAAAGTATGTGCGTCTAATATTAAGCATGTTTCAAGAGAGAACAAATTGGAAATTTTTCCTGAACTAAGGCAGTTTAAACAAGACCTATGCTGTTTTTCAATTCAAAATTAAAGATATTTAAATTTATTTTATACAAGGATATGTACGTACTGATCGAGCAAACAAAGTAGTATCTTTTATCAATAAAAAAATGCAAGCAAAATAAACATCTCAATGTACCTCATGCAAATATGATATAGAGCTACAAAGTTGGCAGTTAATTAATAACTGATGCATTCAAAATACCCCAAATGATAGGGAGCCATATCTGACATAGATAGTACAAATACTGATTTGTAGGCAACATGCAAGTTCATACAGTTTTGGGTACAAAAACACCTGTTTTTCATTTTCAAGGGAGCCCAGTCAGAAGGGTAAGTATTTAAATAAATTAGGCATCAATGTGATGAAAATAAGTTACTTGTTTTGATATTATTATACACGAGATAGAGATGCTATATAAGAACCATCACAGTACTTTACACTTTTTAGTAGTGTACATGAACACAGGGAAGGCGTAACGTAACTGCTGCTTCTGAAATGTCAAAGGAATTGCTGCAATCTCAAAAGCTTTCACTACTGGCAGATTTTAATTCAGACTTTTCACAAGTAGATTTCAAAGCAATGCTCAGGCCACTTGATACCGGTTCAGTCACAAAACTGCAACATCACAAGATAAACCAAATACTATTCAGGTTTCAAATAACTAGGTAAGGAGAAACCAGTTTTAATTCACGGTTGTGCACAGCAAAACTCATAGAGATGCTCATGAAATTCTACTTAAGCTCATTGCAACTCAAGACTAATCAGCAGGTTAACACAATGAAGTGTCACTATGAAAGAATATGCTCAAAATATATTGGAGCTAGTAGTTACACAAAAGAATATTCCACGTGAATACTTCCAATCACAAAATATACTTCTTTCATCTTTAATGAGTCCAAAATTAGACCAAAAGAACTTCGGAACCATGGGGGAAACAAGTGACTTTCGGGCTTATGAAGTGTGCAAACTACATGCACCTATTCTTTTTTAATCCCTGTTTGGACTGAAGTGCTCAAGGTTGATACTCTAAACATAACAACATTATAGTTTCAAGCATGATATGTGCCGAAAAATTCTCAGTGATCCACATGATACATGTATGCATGACTACTATCCTGATGTAAAAAAATGATTCAGCATGCTATTAATTTTAACCTGATTCAGAAACACATAAATGTATTCCATAAGGCCAATTCAATTCAGCGCCTGTTTAAGTTTCCAATATCTGAAAACCGAGGAACTACAACAGGTACACCACGGGCCTTTTCGAGAGCAAAATTTATCCTCAAGGGTCTACCTAACAGTGCCTGCAAAGACAACATCACAGTTATCATAAAGAACTAACTTCAATAAACAACGATTAAAAAAAAGTTTGTTAATGTGTAACCTTTCCGTCCATTGCATCTTTTGCCGATTTTGCATCATCTTCATTTGAAAAGATAACAAACCCAAAGCCTCTAGCCCTACCACTGTCTTTATCATACACTATCCTGACTGCAACAACAATAAAAAAAAGGACCGCGTTGAAATTTGTTAATAAGTGAGTTAGACATAACGTCGAACACGTAGAAGGTTGAAATGACCTTCAGTGACTTCTCCAAAGGAAGAGAAAGCATCTTTAAGGGATTTTTCATCTACGGACCATGATAGACCTCCTACAAAGAGCTTGTTAGAGGAAGGTGATGGTGATGGTGAAGAAGTAGTAGTAGTAGAAGAAGAAGAGTTGAAGAATCGGCATTGAGAGTTAGAAGGATGCAGGTGGTTTGTGAAAAAGGCCGTAGCACGAAACGAGGGAGAATAGTTATGAATGATCCACGTCCGGCAGCGCGAGAACGATGATATCAACCTGGCTCCTCTCATCCAGTTTCTGGCCATTTCTCTTGTTTATATGTATGCTTCTCTGTGTGATTTAAAGTCTGCAAGGTGCGATTTTAAGAGGATGGGTCGATTTGATGTTGCATCATGGACTTGTATCATAAATGTGGTGATGTTGAGTCTGCACGTGAACTGTTTGATAGAATGTCTGAGAAGAATTTGGTGACTTGGAGTACTATGATTAGTGGTTATTCGCGGAACAGTCGTTTCGATAAAGCGGTTGAAATGTTTGAGATTCTTCAAGCTGATGGGGTGGTGGCTAATGAGGTTGTTATGGTTGGTGTGGTGTCTGCTTGTGCTCATTAGTCATTTGGGTGCTCTTGCAATTGGGGAGAAAGCTCGTGAGTATGTGATGAAAAATATATAGTATGGTTCTTAAATTAGTATATCTTAAACTTATCATTTTCATTTTTAGAAAACTTAATGCATATACTTTAATTTTTTAATTATTCAATTAAAGTATTATATATTAAGTCAAAATTATCGGAGAAATTTCTAAAATATTAAATTGGTAAATAATAATGATTAAATTAATAAAATAAATGGTCAAAAGTTGCAATAATATAGAATCAAATCATAGACCTTACTCTGGTGCGTGGTCAAACGGTGCAACCACCAAATTAACACAATTTTTCATGAAAATTTTATTATTATTGATATATAATAGTTTGTGAATGATAATGTTGGAATCAATTGAAACCTTGTTTCTTCTCTGTCAAAAATTATATTTAAGTCATTCTTTTACTTTGCTTGTGCACGAGAATAAATGAAAAAATCTTATTCAGTAAAATGTCATTAATCGATATGCTTAAAGTGAATGTGTGATTCATGTTAAAGTTTTCAAAGTATTTTGAAGGGGATTCGCCGGTTAAACCTTTTGCATCCAATTTGCATAAATTGGTGAGGTGAATCAAACTTAAAACTTAGTGTAAACACATCTTTGAAATTATTTTGTTCAACTTTCATCGTATCGTCTTCATCTTCTTCTTGTTCATGTTTTGCAACAACCTCCCAACACAATATTAAACAATCTTTAGGTTTGATTTTCAATTTTCAATTTTGATACATACTTTATTTATAATTAATATTAAAATATATAATTTTAAAGAAGATGATAACAACTTTCAATGTCGGTGAAAGATTTACAGTTAATTCATATAATTTTTAAAATTATGAAATTTTGATTTATAGATCTTTTTGTTTGTGGTTAATTTGTGACTACAACGGAGAAATGAACATTCGTGTTTTCTTACTCATCAATATGGTGAAATGTACATAATCATATTAAATAAATATGTCATTTATATGATATTTTAAATTAATGTAAAATCTATTGAAAATAATATTTATTTATGTTAAGTTTAACATATGGAATAAATTTCTATATGCATGATTTATAAATTATTCAAATATGTGAATTTGAATAAATACATGTTAAATACCTATTGAAAATAATATTCAAGTATGTTGGTTTATGGTGTATACTTGAATACAAAATACATGTTAAATTTTATTTTTTATGCAAGTAATTTGTTTTAATTAATAATGCATAAATTTTAGATAAAATAATTTCGTGGAAAATAAAAATCATAAATTTGAATGTATGGTGCATGTATTGGTAACATGAAATGATGTAAATAAAATGTTAGAAATATCAAGGACATGTTTAAATTGCATTTTAGTTTTTGCAAGAATTTATTAAATTTAAAATGATGCATCTCATATTATATATGTATCATAATATGAAAGTATTATTATTTTTTGTTCATCATGATATTAAAAGTAATTTTGGCATATTTTAAGTTATTGTAAGTTGACAAATATTTATAGAGAAAAGTTATATAAAATATTAATGATGTGAATTCATTGCTTACTTTATATTGTGATTTTTATTTGAATATACCATAGAACATTGTTAAATATGAAACATGAATTTATCACATAAAATTTGTTATACATATTAGTTATGCAAGAAAATTATTTATTTTAAAAAGATATAAATGAATTCTATGGTGTTGTATTTATATGGAGTTTATGAATTACATGTTTGAATTTACTTCATGAAATAAAAGTTAGTCATGACAAACTTGTTTGATCGAGGTTGACGATTGCTATAAATGTTTAATGAATTAAATATATTTCGAATATATTTAAGTGGAAGTAAAACTTCAAATTAAAATGTTAGCAAATCAAGAATGACATAAAATTTGTGTATATGACAAAAGTGTCATGATGATAGTTTACCGAAACTATCAAGAATCTAAAACATATGTTGTATATGAAAATTGTACTAAGAGCATAAATATCGGTTTCTTTGAAGAGTTCTTTCACAGTTATCTAAGCCAGGGTGTCAGAATGCATTGGATATTTCATTTTTTTCATCGTTGCCATATTAAAAACGTTCATAGACTAAACCACGCTTCTTTCATATTACGTGACTTGTTTTTATTTATTTTAAAAAAGAAACGGCTACTCTGCATTCAAACCAACAACAATAATAAATATGTGTGAGGTATGTTGTGAAATTTAGAGCATAATTATCGGAGTGGTAAAAGCCTATGTGTACTATTTGGTGTCAGAGTAACATGGATAATAAAGACTATTTATTGTGGTTTAAATTGGCATTGTATCTTAAAATGACACTGTTACTTTTATGGAATATATTGGTTTTAAGTAAGTAGTATGGATATTTAGAAAATATAATTAAGTGGTTTAAATAATTAGGACCCACTTATACCACCAACATGAGTAGTATGAATGTGGGTGCTCTTAGTGGGAGCCATTTTAGAGTTTTTATAGATTGTATGGATATTTAAAAAATGTAGTAGAGTTGTTTAAAAAATGAGAAGGTGTAATATAATATAAAAGATTGAGTGGGTCCCATTTATAGAATCCAAATGGGGATGATAGATGTAGATGCTCTAATATGACAAAAGTATTATGATTTAATGATAGATGACAAATACTATTATGAGTATATAAAGTAATCATATGCATGATTAGTTAAAAATTGAATATTCGGAATTTATTAAAATTTGGAAAAATCTTGCAATTTTTTGATGAAAGGATTGACAAAGATATGATGTCTTTAAATATAATTGAATACAATGAAGACATCATTAGGGATGTGGAACAAATTTGTATCTAATTAATCATCAATAATGGAAACTCAACTCACACTTGATTATTGTTATGTCTTAAGTTCAATGATGAAAGTACACTATTAGAGTCATTGAAGTGCTTAATGATATGTACATCCAAATGGGTAAAAGTATTTAGACCATAAGAATAAGTGTGTTAGGATGAGATTTTTCTCTTAATAGATATATAATATATGTTTGCTAGAATGCATAATTATGGGTGCATTTCTGATATAGTCTACCTATATGAGAATGAAGTGGTGCCGCTTCATAGAGTTCAAGGGTTTGACTCTTAAATTCTCATGAGAAGGATATGAGGCACAAAGTCTAATTAAATGTGTCATATTGATAATTCAATCAATGATGCTGAGATTTCATGTGTGAGTTATGCACGCTTGTTCTAATGAATAATTGGTTCAAAGCTTGTCTACCAATCTATTCGGGGATGAGTGAAAAACTTAACTTACTAAATAATGGTTCAAATTGTAAGATACATTTATCTAAAACCATGAAATTTCCTGAATAATGGATTTAGATATATTTTAAAAATGGTGGGGGATTGTTGAAAAATTTTCAAAAATATTAAATTGATAAATAATAATGGTTAAATTAACAAAATAAATGGTCAAAAGTTACAACTGTCTAGAATCAAACCAGAGACCCTATTATGATAAGGCGCGTGGTCAAAAGGTGCAACCACTAGATTAACACAATTTTTCATGAAAAAGTTTGTTGTTATTTATATACAATGGTTCACGAATGGTCATGTTGGAATCAATTGAAACATTGTTTCTCCTCACCAATTGGTACAAGTTTTTCTATAAATAGAGATACTTGTTAGGTATAAAAAGTACACAAAAATTACTTGTTTCAAGTGCCAAAAATTATATCTAAGTCATTCTTTTATTTTTCTTGTGCACGAGAATAAATGAGGAAACTTTATTCAGTAAAATATTATTAATCGATATGCTTAATGTGAATGTGCGATTCATGTTAAGGTTTCCAAAGTATCCTGAAGGAGATTTGTCAGTTAACCTTTTTGCATCCAATTTGTATAAATTGGTGGGGGTGAGTCGAGCCTAAAACTTAGTCTAAACACACGCTTTGGTATTATTGTGTGCAACTTTCATCATACCGTCTTCATCATCTTCTTCTTGTTCATGTTTTCCAGCAGACCTCCAACACAAGATCTAACAAAAATAGTAGTAAGGAGGATGTTACCGCCATAAATCATTTGTTATCAAATAACCAAATATCGTTGTCCACAAAATACATAGTATAATACAAATTATAAATGTTATGATCAAAATACAAAGAAAAAGTCAATTACAAGGTATATATGATCATCTGGTTTCTCTTATGCCTCTTGTATTGCAAGGCATGTCGTGTCTCGGCTATTGTGCCTTGTAAAGTCTTAAGAGTGTCTTCCTCAAACTTTTCTCTCTATATATGTTTGTGTTGCAAAGTGCAATATTATTGCATCCACATAGATTGTTTGTGTTTTAAAGACCATTTCAACCGCTATTATGATTCTAAGCTTAAGTTTATAATTATTTGGTTGCGTAAAATTAAATTAGAAAATAAATTGAGATTTTTTTTTTGTTTACAATGAGAAAATTTACTAGGGATATATTTTGTCATTATTTATTTTCATGAACAACTATCGGTCAGTAATATGTTCTTCTACTCAACTATTAATATTACATCTTGTTGCTCTCGCCGTATCTCATCTCTGACTCAACAACATGAGATCAGTTGTATTACCTAATAGACAATCTCTTCCTCTATTAAATACAACTGCATTAAGTTCCAACAATAAATTAAAGATATTGATATCAATTATTAGTATTATCTGGATAT